TTTGCCAAGAAAACTATCCAGTAGTTTTTGTCATGCCCTAGCCTATCTACCATAAGAATATGAGCAAAATTGAATTTTCGACCCTTGCCGCGAAATTAAGAATTTGTCTGATTTTTACAGGCAGGCACTCTAAAGTTTATGGCGCCTGCAGTCAAACTTGGTGCGTGATCGATAACAAACAAAACCTTTGCAACGAGCGACAGTGGAGAGAGATTTCAATGTTAAATGTTATTTTTCAAGTGTCTTGGAATATTTTTCCCCTCAAACCAAACAAAGTTAGATTTTTATCTCTTAAGACTACTGTGACGATAACAGAACCTTAATTATGACACTAATATTGGCTAATATTGGAAACGCTCGTTCCGCCTACGAGTCATTGCGGTGTTCTTGGGCAAGACACTACTCTCATTGTGCTTCTCTCCGCCTGTGTGTATAAATGGTGGGTATTAGCAAATTTAATACTGGCAGGGTAACCATGCGATGGGAACAGCATCCCATCCAGAGGAGTAGAAATAGTCCTTGTCGCTTACTGTAATGCTACATGCACAGAAACCAGGATAAGCTCCGGGCTGCCTGATGCAGACTTGACCTTTTTGTATAGTTATTTTTTAAATCTCTCACCCTTTGCTTATAAACACCTTGTAAACTATTTTCTCCTTTTGAACCTATTATCAATTATCCCAAGGTTGGCGTCTAAACTACATAAGTTACTAAATACTTCATGTTTTTCTATGTTTTGATGTATGAAACTGTCCAGCCTGCAGTGCAGGCATTTTCTGTGGGGTGTCTGGAAAACCCGAATAGCGAATAGCGAATAGCGAATTGTTGTGAATAGCGAATAGTTGCGAATAGCGAATAGTACGAATAGTGCGAATAGTGGCAAACAGTCTCGAATAGTGGTGAATAGTGGAAAATAATGGCAAATAGGATACCCTGTCTCTTGCAGTCAGCCTCGTAGCAACTTAGGATGGGATTTTTCTGCTAAAAGGCACAGACACTTATCAGGTCAAAAGGTGTTTCTAAAAGTAATTTCTTCTGTTTTAACCGCTGCAAAAGCGTAAATACGTCTTTATTAGGTTATCCTTGTGTTTTCTGTTTTGTTACTGTTGGCAATGGACAGCCTACTAGCCTGAGTCCAGAGAAGAAAAGGTAATACATTCACTGAAATTCTGTTGCTTATTTGGATAATTAGTTAATGCTGGATATTAGATCTAAAGCAGTGACTATTGACGACTATTCGTCACTATTCTCTACTTTTTGCTACTGTTCACCACTATTCGCACTATTTGGGACTATTCGCTATTCGCTATTCGGGTTTTCCAGACACCCTTCTCTATGTTCTTGCAAGTTATGGATATTAGCTCACAATCTAGTGGATTCTCTGCCATGTTGGCTAAGGAAAGGTGGGCAGTCTCACTCCTACAACCTAGGATACTTTTTCATCTCTCTACAAGCGTGTTCCAAGTTTGAATCCAAGATGGCTCTAGCTTGATCAAAATGTATTTGCTAGCCAAAGTACGGCTGCATTCCAGGCTAGTCCAGAAACTGTCACCTGGTAAAATTACAAAATGGTATTTCTAAGCTTCTTAAAATAAATAGAACTCACCTAAACAGGAATTTATTCAGCTTACAACCTACAATACTTAGCAAAACTCTTTTCTAAATCATGTGTTGTGTCAGTAAATTGCTTATTGCCTGGAATATCTCTTAGCAGACACACTAGCTTGTTTTTATAACTTGATGTAAATGAGGTACAAATTTGTTTTTGCAGGTTATGGAGCTAGTCCTGGATATCCCACTCAGATGGGCTATCCACCTCCTGGTGGAGGATATCCTGGAGGTTTTGGAGGTCCCCCTCCACAAGCTGATCCTACACTGTGGAATTGGTTTGTTACTGTAGACAGAGATAGGTCAGGTGAAATAACAGCTGATGAACTTCAACAGGCACTGCTCAATGGAAACTGGTCCCACTTCAACAGTGAAACCTGCAGGCTAATGATTGGTGACTTGCTGTTATTTTTCTTGTTTTATAAAATTAGAATGTGTACAGAGGTTTGCCTGTTAACAATATCTTTGTTTGATTCCTCTGTTACTGAACCATCACAGCCTTTTTGATCGGATGCAATTCAGTTTGGAGAGTTACCTATTGCTTGTCCTTGGTTAAAATAAATCGGTCAACCCTCCCCCTCCCCCACCTAGCCACCCTATCCTACCCTTGTTATTTAAGTGTTTGACTTGAAGCAAGTGCTGAATATTTATGCTTCAAAACCGGAGATTGAAGTACTTGAACATTGTTTATATAAAATATGTGTGATATTGCAGAAACAATATTCCATAGCCCTTGTGCCAGATCAGTTCATGCTCCTGTTTAATTTTCCAAAAGCCACACTCTGATGAGATCAATCTAGCTGTAATTTTTTCTATACCTTTCTTTTTTCAGAATGAAATGAATATCCCTTTTTGTTTTGTTTTTTTTGTTTTTGTTTTTTGTTTTTCAGAACTCTGATGAAAAAATAAATCTATGCAAGGAAAACACAAAACTTGCCATAACTTTATGTAATATTTACTGTAAGGATTATATCTACCAGTAGATGTGGATTATGCAAACCTGGTATAGTTATGTGATTCAAGCCTTTAGCGTTGCTTTACATTTTAACCAGGTCTCCATTTTCCTTCAAAATCATGCATCTTAACAGTATCCTACTGATGAAAAAATTCAGGTCCTGTAGAATTATATTGCCCAAATTTATAGGCCTGTATATAAAAATTACATTTGATGCATGTCAGCCCAACATTTTAATTGTTGCAATCTTTTTATCAGGTATTTTCGATAGAGATCAGTCTGGCACCATCAGTTTCCAAGAGTTTCAACAACTTTGGCAATATATTCAGCAGTGGAAAGGTTCTTTTGATAGATATGATACAGACAGATCAGGAGCTATAGAAGGCCAGGAATTACATCGAGCATTTGCTGAGATGGGTTTCAATGTGTCACCTAATTTTGTTAGCTTAGTAGTTACAAGGTACATGCAATGTGTTTTATAAATTTATTAACTGCTTTTCATTGGTAATCCTCTTTACATTGTGCACTCAGTTGTGCGAACAATTGTGCTTGCAATACATACAGTACATACGATTGTTTACTGGTTATTTTGAGTGAATGAGAGCAGTCCAACAATTGAAGAGCCAAATGCATATCTGCCTTATGTCGAATTTTAGGCCCTTTTCCTCCTCTCTGGCTCTGATTTGCCACAATCTTGGTAAATTAACAACAAATTATATTTTAAACACTGACCTGGACTTTTTTCACTCATTTGCACGTTTTTGGAAGAAAATCTGCCTGAGTCAAGATAGCTTTCTCTCAAGCAAAGATGGCGGTATCCTTTGCCAATACAATACATTAAATGTAGCTTCTGTTTATAGTGTTCAAAGTCAAAATCAAATCCTTCAGAATCTTGGCTGTCCTCTAGTAAGCCAAAGGAAAATAGGAAATTAAGTGGGAATCTGGGAACCAGGTTGTTTACATTGGTTATTGTGACATGAAACACGACACATGAGTTGGAGCGAGTGCTAAAGGAAATGCATGCCTGCCCTGTGGTTGAGAGGCATCAGAAAGCCTTGATTAATCTGTAAGTCATCAGCACGTTTTAAGAACCAAAATGTGCTTTCTGATGTGCGAACAAACTGGTACAATTGAGGTATCAGCGTTTGAAATCAGATTGATCCAGGCAGCAAAGTCCAAGAGCAGTTCTTGCCCAAGAAAACAATCCTCTCGTGAGTTGTGGCCCATTTGCCAAGTGTTGCTGTTGTCAAAGTTTGGAAAGCAAGAACTGATTTTAGACTTTTAAAAGATATCTAGCATCGACCACCATTTTTACAATAACAGTACTGTCTAATTCCCTGGGTGCTGATTGGCTCATTTTTATCATCAATAAGAGAACAGACGGATAAAATTTTAATTTATGCAAGCTTCCAAGTTTAACTTTCAGCTGTCAAACTGTCAACTTTTTAACCAATGAGATTTTGACTTTTTTAAGTAACCAATCAAAAAGCGAGAATAGCCATTGACAATGTTTGCATCATTTTGAATAAAATTCACTTATCTTTGTTTACAGCAAGTTTACGGCATCTTTTCCCCTCATTTATTCCTGGTATATGATCATTTTGGGGTCTTGTTATTGTAAAAAACAAATTGACATCAGTTTTTTGCGTCTGTCCTCTTTTTGATGATGAATTGCATCATAACATTGTCAAAGTTTACTGCGGAACCACTCGCCTGTGGCTCGTGGTTCCACAGCCACGTTGACAATGTTATGCCACAATTTATCATCAATAAGAGGACAGACACATAAATAATTTGTGAAGTTTACCACACGTGAGTTGTAGAGAACCTTCCCAGCATGCATTACGATCATGCGCAATGGACGTTTGGTGACTTTAAAAGCCTGGTAAACAATACAAGTAAGAGGAAGTGGATTTTAGGTAGTTATTGACACAGGGAGTACCATAGATAATGGCCAACAAGTATTGATCAATTATAACAGCAATCTTATTTCAAATCAGCATGATTTGTAGCGTTTAAAACTTATGGTATCAGGGGACAGAACCCTAACCTTGGGAGCCTCGTGAAATCAACATTTTGCTCTGTTATAAGTCAAATGAGCATCTCTGTGGTCATGCGTTCTCGTGAAATCTACATTTAACTGTTTCTTAGGTGAAAAAAGTGTCTGAGTTCAGAGATGGCTGTGTGATACCACTGGCAATAATTACAAATTACCTGATTTTCCATCATACTTGGATAGAATTTATTTACTTATTTATTTTTCCAATTATTGAATCCATTAGGTTTGACAAGCTTGCCCGTCGAAGCTTGAAGCTGGATAGTTTTATTCAATGCTGTGTCATGTTACGAGGTTTGACTGATGCATTCAGAGCAAGAGACACAAACCTAAATGGAAATATCACCATTAATTATGAAGACTTCATGTGTATGGTGCTTTTAAACAAGCCTTAAAAACTTATTTAATGTACAATTTAAAAGCAGCTCCGTATTTCATGGTATACAACTGAGAAGATTGCTGAAAGCCAGCAAATTTGCCATTAATTTTTAATTGCACTTAATCACCATGTAATCATAATTTTCTCATGCTGTGATCTTTGAATGTTCTTTTGAATTGCACTTTCTTAATTAAAGGCTCATGCAATTTTGAGAGAATTTTCCAAATATCACTCGTAGTGTAAAGGTTATTACACTTGAATTTTGCAATAAACTATTGCTAATTATTATTGTAAACCATTTCTTAAGTAGAGCACCTCGCGTGAAAATACATCATGAATGCCTAGACCTTGATGCAGACCTACAGAAGTATGTTTTGATTTTTTTATTTGGTTTAGTTGTTCAGAGGTAGTCATACAAATCGATGAAAATCGATAGACTTAGCTATTTATCAACTTTCAAACGCAAACCCATTTCCAAAATTCTGGTTGTTTTGAACTCTTTGCTGTTTTGAACTTATATCAGTTCCCCTTGGCCTAAAATCAACCTTCTTTATTTCAAACTCTGTTGACAGGGTAAAACAGATTCATGACATACAGTGTATCAGCTCATGTCACAACACGGCTGGAAAGTTACCACATTACATCATGTTGAATACAAAGTCGCTTCATTGTGCTATTTAAGACTAACCCAGTTATTTTTTATATCCCCTTATTTCAAAGTATTTTTCTTCTCTCAGAGTTCGAAACAGCAGGGTTCAACTGCTGGTATTATAAATGTCCAAACATCCTTGTTTCTTCATGAGGTACTAGTATCAGTCTATGGAACGCTTTTTCATTAATCATACCTGGTTTAACAATACAGGCAGGAACATAACTAGGATCAGTCAATTGAATAAGAATGGCAACTATGCAAAAGGGCGTGAACGGTAGTCACCATTTTTATTTAAATCAGTGATCCAAGTTGATCCAGTATTTTTCCGGAAAACTTGCACAATAATTATTTGTGTTACAATTGAAAGCAGTTTATCAGTTTTGATCAGTTATCATCGATTAGAGATTATCAATATAAATCGATTGATATCGCTTTTCATCCATTGAGGCCTTGGGTGTCCCATGGCGTAACGAGGGCAGATGGTGATTGATTGTTCAGGCCCATTCTTCCTAGTTTAAATGTGTTTGTAGAGAGTTGAAGGTAGTTGTTAATAGTCTGTGCCAAAATAAAATAGTAGCAAAATTGTAAGAAAGTGTTCAAAGTGTGATAGGCATCGTCTGTGTTGTGACCTAGAAATAAATTCTAATATCCTTGGAGCAGATTCATGATAGCGGAGAAGCTGAGAGAACAAGTCGACGAGGACGAGGCGGCTGCCTTCTTGTCAGGATTAACCTACTTAACTGATGTGCCCACAGGCGGCCCAGACGTTGGATACAATTAAAACGTGCCATTACATTACAATTTTAGCCGTTTATAAGACAATGTATGAGAATGCTTCGAAAATTACTCTAAATGCTATGTGTAGAAAATAATTTGAATAAAATGGCTTACCTTACGTTTGCATTGCCTTATTTTGATGTCTCTGGGTTTCTGGAGGTGGTTTAGAGCCATTTAGGCGAGCTTTACTTTCTGGTGGTTTGCTTCCCCTCAAGAGAAACGAATTATTTTCTACACGTAACTTTTAGAGTAATTTTCGAAGCATTCTCATACATTGTCTTATAAACGGACAAAATTGTAACGTAATCACCAATAACATAATGTCACATATTAAATGTCTGGGCTGCCTGTTATGTGCCCAAAGGGAGTAAACCGCCTGGTTATTGCGTTCGATGATAGGAGAACGCATACTAATTGGCTCATTCCCGCGGGTTTATGTCCTGCGATTTTCTGCGATCTCAGATGATTTCGGGGTTTGGACGCCATCTTGGACTGGCTGGCTGGCTGGCTGGCTATGGTTAGTCAAATGTTGCAAAATTCAACAACTTGCACCTGCATATTCAACAGCTTATATTTATGTTCAACAACATATATTTACATTCAACATTTTATATTTATATTCAACAATACGCATTTTCTTTTCATTCAATAAGAATATTTGTTCAACTTCGACCAAAAATAATTTCATTCAACAACAATATTTGTTCAACTGCAACCCAAATGATTTCCATTCGACAAAAATAATTATTCAGCTTCTACCAAAATCATTTTCATTCAACAACAATATTTGTTCAACTTCAACCACAATTATTTTTATTCNCAACAACATATATTTACATTCAACATTTTATATTTATATTCAACAATACGCATTTTCTTTCAACTTCAACCAAAATTCTTTTCATTCAACAAAAATATTCGTTCAACTTCAACCAAAAATAATTTCATTCAACAACATTTGTTCAACTTCAACCCAAATGATTTTCATTCAACAAAAATAATTATTCAGCTTCTGGTACTGGTGCTGGTGGAGGAAGAGAGCTTTTTTTAAGAATATATGTAAATCGAACAATATCTCACTTGCATGAAACAAATAACTCCAAACACTTCTTTGTCTCACCAGACCTTAAAACCTTGAACAATGAAGAAGCAGAGCGATGCGAAGGCTTGTTAAAAATAAAGGAATATGCAGATGCGCTTAGCAAGTTTCGAAACAACAAAACACCTGGTTCTGACGGGTTCACAATAGAATTTTACAGGTTCTTTTAGGAGGTGATTGGACATATTATGTTAGATAGTTTTAATTACGCATATGAGCGCGGTCATTTATCCATGTCCCCAACGGCACGGAATTATTTCCTTCATTCCCCCCAAAAATTAAGACTTAGAATATTTAAAAAACTGGAGGCCGATTTTCCTTTTAAATAATGATTATAAAATCGCCACAAGAAACGTTGCAGTCAGAATGAAAAGTGTCGTACCTAAAATTATTCATTCAAGCCAAACAGGCTCTGTCAAAGGAAGATATATTGGCGAAAGTATCAGAACTATTGCAGATATCATGTCTTTCACCAACACGCAAAACATTCCCGGATTAGCCGTTTTTCTCGATTTTGAAAAAGTATTTGATTCCATTGAGTGGAATTATCTTCAGAAATGCCTGGAAACTTTCAACTTTGGTCCTCGACTGTGGCAGTGGATTGAACGTAATATATAGCGACGTTTCAAGTTGCATTCTAAACAATGGCTTTGGCACTAAGCAGTTTAATTTGGGAAGGGGAGTCAGGCGAGGCTGTCGTCTGTCTGGTATCCTGTTTACTATTGGGATAGAAATCCTGGCTAATGCCATTAGAAGCACAAATAATATAAAAGGCATCGAAATAGATGACACAAACACAATAAAACTTACGCAGTACGCTGATGATAACACTGTTTTTCTTAGAGACGTTCAGTCACTAAATAACCTTTTTAATTTACTTGCTCAGTTCGAAAATTGTTCTGGATTACGAATAAATCAATCACATTCAGAGTTGCTGTGACTAGGAGCATTAAGAAATCGAAAAGATACTCTTTGAATCTAAGATTAAGTGAGGAACCCATCTACGCCCTGGAAGTTCATTTTTCGTATGACGAACAACTGACGAACTGTTTTCGATCGACTAGACCCCCTAAAAAGAATACTAAACATGTGGTCGTCAAGAGATAATTCCATATACGGAAGAATCAATGTAGTAAAGAAAATTGCAATTCCAAAACTTAAAGTGATTGAGGGCTTAACATGAACGATTTTACATTGTTTGATAAAGCATTAAAAATATGTTGGGTGAAGCGTATTTGCTCTGAGGGCGATCAAGCATGGAAATTAATCCCACTGCGCTTGTTAGCATTGTTCAAATAATTTGATTGGCTAACGAGACAAAAGCTGACAACGTCCAAGTTAAACTTTCGGTTTCGAGTGGTCTTCGAGAGAAGGACGATCGGTTCAAAGTTCGCTTTTTAGATTGATTTGAAAATAAGGATCTAAACGGAATCCGGAAGTATTGCAGCCTATGAAGACGTGCACTTTTCCAATGGAAATTACGAAACAAGGAGCTCAAAGCTTGCGGATGAAAATGCGAAATGCTGAGCTGTATTTGAAAGGAGCTACAGTTATTTAAGCTCTCGACTTGCAGCGTGATTTCCCGAATTAGCGTCAAATTTGGAAAGACTAAACTGCTCCCACTGGGTCTACTCCGAGTACAGGAGAGAATATTAGAGCAAGCTTTTAACTGGTTACTCGTCGGGTGAGTGTTGTAATTGTTGAGTTTCACTTCGCTGAGATGACCAGGGATCGCTTTTTAGCGAGCAAGCGTTATTACCCTCAATGTAAGTGTTGTTTGAGCATTTTTACAAATATAAAGCTTTTCATCATTAAGAGAGACAGCTCAAGTGGTGTTTTGTGTTGTTTCACTTCTTAAGTATAATTTCAGCTTTTGTAACTAAATATAATGTCTTTCATCGACGCATTCGCTAAGTTGAGAGTTTGTTTATTTCGCTACGGTGTTTTGTCGGAATCCAGCAAAGCACTTCTTTTGTTCTGTTGTTAACAATGGCCACCAGGCAGCTATGTCTACCGGAGACAAAGAGGTCGTTTCCATAACGTTTGTCTGAGTCACAGGGAACGTTAATTCGGGTCAAATTTGTCAAAATTGCGAAGCAAAAAATTCAAATTAAGCTTATTGTGCATCTGTTCTCTGATAAAGCAAGTTGTTTCAGCCAAGCAGAGCGCGCTTTTCATGGAAACTTTATTTAACAAATAAAGAAGCCTAAGCCGTGTATTACACTGTCATAAAACACGACGGGCGTGTGAGAACACGAGGGAAATGTTAAAAACACGAGCCGCAGGCGAGTGTTTTCTACGTTTCTCGAGTGTTCTTAAATGTCCGAAGTGTTTTAACACAGTGTAATACACGGCTCAGGCTTCTTCATTTGTTTTATAATATGGAGTTTACACGCGCAAAACAATAAAACACGCTTTTTCTATGTTTTATTTAAGCAATAGACCACTCTTTCTATGAGTTTACTGGCGCAATAAACCACGCGGGATGTTGGGAGAACACGAGAAAAACTTGTAAATCACCAGTCGTTCGGCGAGTGATTCACAGGCTTTTTGGGTGTTCTCCCAACATCTCAAGTGGTTTACTGCGCCGGTAAACCCATATAAAGAGTGGTCTATCGCTTTTATGAAATAACTATGGAAAAAGCCTGTCAATGAGGGGAAAATTTATTGTACTTTCGTGATCAAGTTGCTTATTCTCATCAAATTCATGAGATGACGCGACAAACCAATCACAGCGACTGAAAGAATGAACGCGCAGACTCCGCGCCGGACATGAAATCCACAGAGCAAAGCGACGAAAACATTTCACGCTAAGAAAGTTTTAGAAAGGAATGGAAAAGGTTATCGGTGAAAGGCAAAAGGTATATTAATTAACTCAAAAGTGTTTTGTTGGGGAAATGCAGGGATTCGTAGGTGGAATCGGTCATCACCAAAGTAAAAAGCTGTACGAAAAGTGTGTAAGCAATCCAAACTTCATGTGCTTGGCGAAGTGATTCAACACAGTGTTTAACGATAACTTTCCGAAGTTTTGCGATAGAATAAAGGTTAGTTACAGAAACGCTGCTTCCGAAATTTATTCAGAATTTATTTACCTATACTGAAGGTTGTGAAGTCCGTGTTTCTCTGTATTTTGCTAAATGAAAACTACTGCTTGAAAGCAAGAGATTATCAAGGTAAGAGAGTGAATCCCCCATATAGATCCTCTAAGGTAATCCCTCTTAAGTTATTTTTAGACATGGTACCCAGTTCTTCCGAGGATGCTACTCGCGCGATGCGTGGACAGCCGAAGCGACTTTCTCGAAACTACCTGAGAGGAAATGGCAGGAACGTCATTTTATATGTTTTGACTGCGTTTCATAGCAGAGATGTTTTCTGCACTCTCATGCAGCCGTCTTTTTGTTCGGCCGGGCTTTCGTTTGTTTTGTGCTCGTTTGGCTGTTCATTATTTGGCTGTTTATTCGGTCTATCCGGTAGTTCAATGATCGAATAAAAATACGAGAAAATCGAGGACTGCGAACAATTTAATACATAGCTGATTCATCGACAATCTTAATCACCTCGTTGTAAGACGAAGGTTTTGTTTACTATTTGTTCTGGAAAGTCTTCATTTCGAGGACAAAAAAAACTCCATCCGTATAATTTCCGCATTATTTTGGTCTGGGACTCAGGGAATCGTTTGAATTCACTAGTCAGAAGGCTACCGCCTTATCCCAAATTCGTGTCTCATCTACCGAATTCAAACGATTCTCCGAGTCCGACTTGTAAAGAATCAAACAAGTTAACAA